ACTGGCCATATGAATCATTTCTGGCTACGCTACTGCTGGAGTCACGTTACATAAATGCTCATCGATAGATGAATCTTTAGATTTTTTGTTGCTGTATGCACTATGCAATCGTGCATTAATCAAAAGTGGCACTTTTTCCGATTTTTTTGTCCGACATGGGGTATATGTAAGGCAAGCCTGGACTTACTCACACTGTGAGTAAACGACTCACACAGTGACTGAGGGAAAAGAGAGTGTCAACAACGTCCAAGTAGGTAAAGTCTATGTTAGCCGAATTGGTAATGGAAAAATTTAAAAATTCTGAGAATGTTATTACTGAATGTTGATAAAATAGAATGAGTCTTCAAACCAAGTCTTTGGTATTATCATTCTGTTGGCTTGAGTCAGCTTTCATGATCTCTAGCCATTTAAATGAGTCCCAACTTTTTCTCATTCTGGATTCAGATGATTCTTACTTAGGGTTGCATCATAACATTCTGAAATTCTTAGCCTTTCCTCTTACTTTGCTGAGAAATCTCTGATCAATTTCAATCATTTTTCTGGTTTTGCCTGGACAATTGCTAAATACAAATAATATTCCTTAAAGTTTCCTCGGTTTTGCTAAAAATAATCTCTGCCTAAGCACAGATATTTACTGCTTGCAAATTCATCAAGCTTGAATATGCCTAATAACGAATTATTTTTTGCAGCACGGTATCTCAATTTGCAACTACTTAACTCATTTATTCACTAGTTATAAGAAATTGCTGGAGGATAGAGAAGTCTTCGGTATGGAAATATGATGCGCAGCATGCTGTTGCCGCTTTTACAAAGTATCAAAAATTGAATACGTTTTCTAAAGTTTTGTCACTTTTAAATCATACTAGTTTTTAATAGAATAATTCAATTTTTGAGAACTGTCTGATCCTATGACCGGAAAGAAAATTCTGAGACAAAAAAAAAAGGAGGAGAGTATACCGGAGGGTCAAACATTCTTTGAAGGTTGTCTATAATAGAGACAATTCAAAATTGAGAACCAGCTCCAATTCAGAGGTGGGGCATCTATTTGGAGTCAGCAAATATACTGCATATTCGCTCCATTAGGAAGAACGAAGTATCAAATTGCGAAAAAGTGAAAACCGTAGCAGCCATTTTATTGTAGAAGACCCATGATCTTTGACACTCTAGCACGGAGAAAAAGTGCAGTAGGATCTCTGTGATAAAATAACGTAGCCGACGCTGCAATGGTTTTATCAAAGCTACAAATATGGATGATAGATGTAGTTGGGGAATTATGCAAATGGTGCAAGATAATTCTATCCCCCTTCTCATTTTGACGCATGAGAATGAGGTCTCGCCAATGACAAGATTTTCTTAGTAATTGACCCTAGCTGAAAACGAGGGATGGCTGCAAGATACATTTCCCTGACTTTTCCGGGTTACAATAAAATGATCACTGACTGGAGATTCCAACGTTGGATTGAATCTATTAGAATGGGCCTGTTGAAAACTTTTGCCAGAGCAAAAATAAGAGTTGTTTCCTATAGTAATGCCTCAAAAATCACAATGGGCACATCGGCAAATTCTGAAATGCTCTCATATCTTCACAATCTGCGTAAGAAATTTGCGTTTTTTGGAGTTTCCTGCTTCAAAAACAATACTACGGCACGGGTGAACATTTAGTTGGAGTCGCTCCATCGTCGGCAATATTCATCATGGCCGACGCTTCCGCAGTTCCCGCGTGAGTCGAGGAGAGTTCAGGGTCAATCAAGGCAGGCGAGGAAAATATGAACGTAAATACGCCGATTGTTATCTGGTCTAACCCTGTTCAGGTGTTATCTTGTCCGACCACACGTGTTTTGGCGAATTGGCGTCGGCCATGATGAATATTGCTGACGCTCGAACGACTCCTCTAACAGAATATTCACCTGTGTTGAAGTATCCTTTTTGAAGCAGGAAGCTCAAAAACCGCTAATTTCTAATGCAGATTGTGAAGCTCTGAGTGCATTTGCATTTTGCACATTGGGAATTTTCTCTACTCATGAAACTAGAGAGCGACGGTATTTTTATTTTTCTTGGACTAATATAACTGAGCTTCCCGATAGCTAAACCATACGCTAAGCAGGAGGGAAAATTTTATTGGTTAAAAGCTGGTTTTCTTCCTTAAAAATGATGAACTTGTACAATTTGAACAATATCTGATGTGGCTTACTTCACTTTTTTCTGTAACCTGCAATCGCTGAAAAATGTCAGTTTCCCAATTATACTGATCCACCTTTAAACAAAACGAAAGATTAAGGTACTTACCGAAGGGCGAATTCCATAGAGGGAAAGCGAATTTTGGTGGTGTGATCAATGACTAGGCCAACGCGACCCCCGCAATTCTCTGATAACCTCTTTAATCTATTTCTGATTCTAGCAGCATCTTGACCCAACGGTAAGTTTGAAACCAAAACTTCAACTGGCTGATTGCCATTCTAAGGAAAAACATAATGAATTTGAAAATCAGTATACATAAGGGAAAAATATCAAGAATTTAGAACAGAAAAAAGAATTACTGATCATAGATTTTAGAAAAATTGAACGTTACGTGGGTTTCAAGTTCAATTTCTTACTCTGGAGTTTAACATTTTTTTACCTCACAGTATTCAATTTCCATACAATAACAATTACAATATTCATTGGAATATTCATTATAACTTGTAAACTTCTGGTAAGAAAAGAAAATAAATGGTTTTTAGTCTTCGTGCTTCTTAACCTTTGAAAAATTGCAGAATTTTCATTTGCTGGTTTTAATAAGAAATGATACTTTCAATTATAAATGAGCAAGTTTTAACACTGAGAAAATGCAAGCTAATAAAATTATCATTTCACCATGAACAGGAGGGTCATTTTTGTTACATAAACTGGCAATTTGGACACCACAGCTGTAAGTTCTAGAGGACAGGAACTCGTGGAGCTCAGATTATAGAAATGCTTTCAAAAATGCAGTGACACTGAAGATTTTTATCGGGGAAAACATATCTTTGAAAATGATGGTTTCGCAGCTGCGGTTGTAAATTTAATTTCCAGGAAATTTTTTCTGTCAACAGAGAGAATCTCTATCTGCCTCTCACCCTCAACCCTGTTGATTCAAGCCGTTTCTTAGAAAATTAGCATTTATCATTACTTAGGAACTCTGAAGCTACATACATCATAAAACATTATGTTATATGATTTTAGTACCTCCAAATTAACGAGAAAAGAAGTATTAGTATGCGTAAAAGACGTACCTTAAGGGCTCCCCGCAATGGCAGAGTCTCTGTCAAAGCTTTAAAACTATGATTTTCTGTAGCACACAACATTAAATTCTCTGAACAAACTTCATTATGTAACAATATAACATGAATTTTTTTCCTGGAAAAAAAAAATAATTTACATGAGTATCCTGAGTTGGGACTGAGGGTCTCACACCATCTATTGCATGCTAGACTAGTGAAAGCACTGATAGGTATTGAACAAGTTAAGATAGGAGGGAGAAAAAAATTTAAAAACCTCAGGCAAAATTACATTGAAAAAGTGAAAAAATACAGATTTATTTACAAATTGACAACTCACGGGGTACACAAAAGTGCTCTGTTTTCTAGGCCACTGTAACCTGTTTTGTTTTTATATGAATATGTTCCATTGGAACTATTTAAATGTATGACAATAGACTTTTCCCAGAATTTGGTTCATCCGTAGAGATGCAGCAAAATTTTTAAAATTGAGTTTTCAACAATAAATACTTCTTACGATCTTAAAAGCTGAATAGCAAGCTTTTGAGATTATTCTGAAGTCAGCATAGGAGCAAAGTTGCATTTTAACCAAAAAATCATGAGCCACAAAAGAACAAAAAAACCTTCACATAATTGTTTCTGAGAACTAATTTTTTGGAACTACAAACTTCAAGCCACCATAATTCCTCTATGATGTAACGTTTAAGGCATTTCTTGCACTTAAATATTGGTAGAACACTCCATTAGGCTGAGCACTACCAATCCTTCAATTTGAACTTTTTCAGCGATATGGTCATTTACCTTCTTTACATCATACTTCTTACTAATACTTGCCCTACTTATGTCATATTATTACTGGGATTCATACCTACCAACTCACATGCGTTTTTATATCACATAAATATATTATATGGCTTGTTAACCAACTCACCTATGTCTTAAATCACATAAATCTGCGGCAAAATTGATATCGCCTGAGATAAGAATGATGGCAGCAGGAGACCCATGAATATCTGCAAATCGTCTGATTGACTGCCGCAATTTCTCGTCAGCTGCATTTTTACTTGTTGAACTAACATGAATTAAATTTACCTGAAAAAAAAGAAAAAGATGATCCAATACAAAAAATGAGACACGATTTCTATTGAAGTTTCATTGATCATCAGATTGATACCACATTATTTATCATTATGTTACTGCACTAAGAAAAGATAAACAGCATCTTAGACAATTTTACTCCGAGAGTTTCATGCTTAACTTGGTAGATTTAGTTTACCTAAGGTTTAAAATTAGTGGGAATTTCTGAGGGTGGTACACTTTTTTGTGAGCAAAAACTCTTTTTACACCAAGTAAAAAATAGTAAAGAGGTTTTAGAGCAAAAGAATGAAAGTTTTGAAATAGACATCAGTGTAATAGTATGTTCAATAGAGAAAATATACGGAAAGAGGAAGAGAGTTGACCTGCAGTGCACAAGAAATGAAGAACATTGCAAAAACCACTAAGACTCCCTTGAAAGCTAGGGTCACGTGGGTTTTTTTTTTCCTTTCCTACAGATAGCTTCTTTTGACACAATACAAGTTTCACTTCATAAAACGTCACTTGAGTTGAGTCTCTGTGTGTGGAAGCTTCAGAGAAAATTTTCTACCTCCAGCTTGTTAGGTTAAGCCTTCTTTCAGCTAAGTCCCCTATTTGTGATAGCGCTTGAGCATTCAAGTTGGCCCAAGCTAGCATACAGATTCCAATACTCGAGTAAAATTTATCCTTTTAATAGGTAGTTCCTTTCTAATATCATCATCTGCACTTACTTAGCTTCTGTATCAATACATATATTAGTTTCCGAGAGACAATATGCATTGATGCACCTGTCCTGTTATCAGGATTGAGGTCAAACAATTTCATTAGTCTCATCAACCCTAGGACTGCATTATTTTGCCAACTGTGTTTTAAGTGTGTTAAGAAAAAAATCAGAGCAAGAAGAGGACAGGACAGAAAATATCAACAAAGAAAGGGGCTTCAATTAGTAGTGACTTACCTGTGCATCATTGAGTTCTTGGATGACTTGAGCATTTTCTTTCTTGACATCACAAACAACTAAAAACTCAGCTTCTCTGTAGCCACTGAAAAATTTATCACGAATAGCTTGAGCAACTGCAACCGCTGAACGACCTCTAGGAACCTGAAATTTACCAAGAAGCATGGAATCGATTTACATACATCTAAAACATATAATCAGTGTATTTGATGAGACTCATAACTAAATATTTTATGTGAATCAGGAGGCTGAGGATCTACTTATGACTCACTTGTTCATTCCTATGTATTGCCACAGACATTTAGAATTGGAATTTCTAGATTTTTCCAGCTTTCCAGCAGTTTCCTGATGACTTGGGATGGAGCCTCATAAGATCCGAAACGCTTTACAGGAAACAATTTAAGTGCAAGGAAGTGCACTGAAAAATTAAAATTCTTTATTTTTCCAGAATTTTCTTGCATTGACAGACCGTGCATGATGATGGATAATGATAGAGTAATTTCAGGATTTACTGATCCAACCAGGCAACGATCTGAAACTATATGATGTGATGTGCAAAAGCTCATCATTACTGTGAAAGCAATTTTACTATGAGTTTTGGGTCATTTTGCTCTTATGTCTTGACTTTTCCCAGTTTCCCAGACCCAATTTTGCCTCCGACTATTTCAAATTTTCCCTGACTATGACCGATCTGAAGCTTAGAACACACTGACTATCATGGTGTTTTACCTTCATGCTTCAATCGATACCACACATTTTTTGATCATTTAGATTCAAACAAATGTTTGACTACAGCAGAATACATGAAGGAGCTAACTAGTCCCAATACCTAAATTCATTAATAAAAGAGCGAGTGGAGGCTGGAGAATTTATATTACTACTGTCAATCTGCGAATCCTCAAGCTGTCTTCAAATATTCCATTGGCAAAAAATTGAACTACAGGAATTGATTATTATTTTTACGTAAATTACCTACCTGGCAGTTTTCAATATCCCAAAACACTCCAATAGGCGGCAGGGTTTTGGGAATGGAATACTGAACTGGACTACCATCAGACTGATACCCTCTTATAGGAATGGGCGATGACCTTTTCACAACCTCTGTGTTGGAGTCCGACTGGCTTGTGTCCGAGTTGGTCTCAAAATCTGAGACAGTCTGGTAGCATAGGGCCGATGCAGATGGCAGTCGGCTCGCACTTGAGGATGCTGGGATTCGCAGCCGTGGAGGGGGCGGAAATTTGAAATTTGTTGAGGAAGGAGACTGGGTTCTTTCACGATTATCACAGGTCAGTTTAATGTAAGTCCCCGTTTCTAGCTCGCTGCAGCTGTGGTAGTCGACAGAATTCGACACACCTAAAAGAAAAAAAAAAGTCAAAGGGTTATGAGATTTAAGAGGATAAAAAGTGCTTACTCTGAATATTATAAAGACTCTAACAGGGGTGCTGAAAATGCTGGAATACGCCCCAAAGTTTTTTTTTTTTTTTTTTTTTTTTGAGAGAGCAATCAAAGTCCCCCCCCCCTTCACCCTTCATTTTCTGAATTTTCTTTTCAGTTCTCTAAAAGAAGGAAGCAGAGCTGCTTTTCAGGAAAGAGACCGACTGGAAAGTTGCTTATGCTACTTCTTTGAGAAAGTGGTGTCTTTCTCATGCCTTAACACACTACGGTTCATTTCTACTTTTCATCTGTGACCATAGAAAAAATAGATATTTCTCCTGTCTTCAGAGCTAAAATATTGGTTATTTGAATTGATATGATTCTTTGGCGCCAAATTGATACAAATTGGGAAAGTAAGACACACTTAAAGATATTTAATTTTTAAGTAGAAGGAATTTGAAGGGGTGAAATTCTTAATGGTCATAAAAAATGACATACCTCCATTTTTATTTCATGCGTACCTATATTTATTGTTTTGCGATTCTTGAATGGTGAAACATATTTTAAAATTGATTACAGACTTGAAAGTTGAAATTCCAAAAAGAGTCTTAAAACAGTTAGTGAGAATAGAATTACAGGTAAATTGGACCAGAATTCGAAAAGCAGCACTCACATTTACATAAAAATTCAAGAATGAGAGGGAGAGTAAAATCTCCTGCAATTAGTTAATGTCAACAATTTGAAAGAAAAGTATTTAATCTACAGAGAATAAAGAGTTATTGAACGTTCACAAAACGGAGAGTTTGAAGCTCTAACGGCCACATAATCCTTTCAAAATTAAATTTGTAGAACTTGGCATCTGTATTAGACTTAAAAATAGTTTGCCAGGTTATTGATGTGACTTTAAAAATTTAGAAAAACTCGTTAACACAAAATTTGATTTTTGTTCAGAATTTCACTTGAAATGAGTTTCTGTTTTACAAATTCATGCATTTTCATGGTATTTTTAGCAGTGTTAGCAAAAACTAGATTCTTAAATCATGTGAAAAGTGAGACACTCAGAGTGAGAAATTTCTAGAATCATTACAGCTTTAGTTTCTCTGAACAAACTGTTCCTTGGTAACTAAAGAAAGCTGCACAACATTGAAAAACATATGTTTCTTTCATACTTTATCTGCCATTGACATTTCTGAAGGTTACCAAGAGAGTGTCACTGCAATTTATTTGTGAAACAAACTCTCTATAAAACAGGTATGCATGAGCAGCAAAAATGAAAAAAAAAAAAAAAAAAAAAAAAAGATACTTTAAAGATCCTGGTGAATGCACAGCAAAATCTTAAAATTAAACATGACTCAATTTAAAAAAAGTGAATAAAAGAGGCCATATTTTTAATACATTTAAAACCTTTGAACTCAATCAACAACAATTCAAAACTAGTATCCGATTTTAAAGAGTGTGAACTGCAAAATTTGGCTCAGGGGAAACACTTTTTGACAAGAAATACTTGACAATTTATTTAAAGAAGAATTGATTTAACCCTACCCCTTTAGTTGATAGAACCCTACCCTGTAAAACTTAAATTCTAGTATTTTCAAATATTTTAACAAGTGTACTCAATGCTTCATTACACTTATATTCATACAGGGGGGTTAGTAGGTATTTAATGCGTCACTTGAGTCTTTCAAGACAAAAATAGAGAACTTTAAAAACAAATAAATAAAGAGACCATACCTTTTACACGATTACGTTTCATTTTCAACGTATATCGACTAGCTTGCACTCGCAATGTGTCTTGTCATGATTTTTGCTATAACTACAAGATAAAAACTTGTACTTATCATTTAAATTCAAAACTGAAAAGAAAAAAGGAAACATACAGCATGAGGAAACTGAGAATTACATAAATTTGATTTGATAAAATAATTTCAGTAAAGTCCAGGGAGTACGTAAGGGGGGGAGGGGAATTCGAACGAAGGGGTGGTCAAATTTTACTTCAAGACCAGACCACACAAGATGCGTATGAATTTGGTAAACCATCAGTTGCCTTCAGGCTGCAAAATATTTAAAAGAATAAGATTACGAGGAACTTGTGAAAAAATTCCAGTTAAAATACAGAGCCTTCCACCTTTGATTCTGCATCCTTTGCTTAGGGATGTTGCACATTAACAAAAGCCATAAATTTTCATGTACCTATATGTGTACAATCAGAAGCGCACTAGGGGCATCAGTAAGTTTGAGAAATTTTCGCTCTAATTTTTCTGACAGATTGATAACAACCCCAGTTAAGCGAGACACACAACGATTGAGAAAATAAGATTAAATTGTTCTTCATGCAATGCCGGAACTTTTCGCCCCACCAACCTCCCGGCTCACATGAAACAGTACAGCTGATTTTAAATAATGGGTATCACTGCCAATTATTTTCAGACTCGGGACTGTGTGGCAAATTCTTTGAAGTAAACCATCCCTGCACTCAATACCATCAATATTCACTCACAAGGCTATGCTGTTAAAACAGCCTGACTGGCAGGACTGCCAGAGCTCTGATTCTATGTATTCCTGTTCTGTATGTTACTTACCGAATTACCTACACAGCCCATTGAACAGATATACATGACAACAGTAGCACTTTCGAGCACACCAAATTTACTTTAGAATCCTCTCACCATTTCTACCTTGAATTGGAAAAACTTTACAGGCTGAAACAGCCCAAAACTTGGCAGGCACATACAGGGTGAGGAATACCTTAAATATCAACTTATCTGTCACCTACTCTTGACTGAATTTTCAGTGAAGGGGTCAATCAAGGTCTGCCAAGAAAAACTCTAAAATAAAATGACTATTCTAGAGATTAGCACCAAGCTGTCAAAGGACTTAGTGAGTTACTTAGCAAAAGTGTGGACTTGAGTGATCTGTGATCTTCAATATAGATGCTTGGGTAATTCTCATGAAACAATTCAAATTGGTAAAAGAGAATTTTATGCTCCATGCAAAGGGATGATGGTTCTGTACATGCATACTGTTAGCAAATATACGGGAGGTTATTGAAAGTATCAATAATAGATCCATTATCAATTCAAGGGTGTATCAAACCTACTTACGTTTTCTGGTAAAATTTAGAAAAGGCAGAAAATAATCAAGGTAGACATATATCTTCACATCTTAAAACAAAAGATACTGGAGAAAGTAATAGCAGAGGAGAGGAATATGCAGAGGAGCAAATTACAGGAAAATTGTTTCACATTTGAGAGCAGGATCTAATCTTTAGGTTGTCATGACTTGCTGGTAGGCAGGAAACCTCTCGTTTTCAAGGCGAAATTCAATTCAGAATACAATGCAGAGAGCAAGTTAAAAAGCAAAGAGACCCAAAGAGCATTAACTATACTAAATGGTTTGGTAAGGCTTGTAAATTAGAGGGAAAATTGGATGGAAGAGACAAAATCAAAGCAGGTAGCAACAAAAAAGAGGAAACATACTTCAACTATACCATCAAATATTGGGTTCTCATGCTGGAAAATTTCGTTACTGCAGCTTCTAAGAGCGTTTTCACGTCTACAATATGGACATTCTATCTTCAAGAAAATAGAGAAAAAGTGTGCGGTGCGATGAATGGCAAATTCTACCAATGGAAAATTACTAACGCATCATTGGTAACACATTGGTGACTGGAGGGTATCTGATGGCATTGGGATGATCTACCACAATCTTAGATGGTGCATTGACTGGAATTTATTGATGAGTGTACTTTATGCTGCTTTTATTTCCTGCAAAAACAAAGTCTAGCAATATTTAGGAGATTGCTTCAAGGATGAAGAATGGCTTTGTTGATGAAAGCATAACCTATAAATCAGACAGTTGAGGTGAAAGTAATGTGACATCGAGTCCAAAGAGAGCATTGGTATTGTTATAATAGAAGAGAATATGAAAACAAAACGCTAATTACCTGCTGCGCTATGATAACATCACTGATTTCATGGAGAAACGAGAAAACTAAAAAATAACTGGAAAGTCGAGTCAAAAGTTCAGTCAGCCTTGAGCCTAGGCTAGACGGAAGCAAATGCAACCAACTTGACAAATGGTGAAACCCTCAACTTCCGGATATCATCTTCACATTTTGGCTTGGATAATAATCAAATTTTTATTCTTATTTTTATTTCCTCTGAAGAAAAAGAGAGGCTGCTGATTCGCAACTTTAATGCAGGATATTCTAGCATTTGTAGCCGTCTAGCATTCTAAAACTTCAATTAATTTACTTACTTCGGGGCGGGAAATTTTTAGAATTTGAACGGAAGTTATCGACTGTTCGTTTACCTCCAACAACGTTGACGTTGAGCGCTGAAAAAAAACTTCTCCTACAAAAAGACGGTCAAATTGGTCAAATAGAACGCATTTTCTAGCATTTTCTTAACCAGCCAAGCAGTCCTAAAGGACCAGAGGAGAAAGAAGTGAAAGTTTGGAAATTTCAGTGGAATATTTCAAGAAGTTTCACGTGGCAGTGAAATATTTCATGAAATTTCACGAGGCAGAAAAATATTTCATGAAATTTCACGAGGAAGTGAAGTACTTATTTCATATTTTTCAGGGGCTAGAGTATGCAACCCTCACTCAAACACACAAAAATAGAGGAAAGTCACAATTTTTACACTTTGAGATACATGGTAAAGGATCCGGTATTTTTAAATATATTTTATAAACTGGATCATGAAGTATTTCACGTGAAGTTTTAAGATTTTATTTTTCGTGAAATTTTGACACTCTGAAGGACTCTACTCAAGTAGGTGGTACTTGTGGAATGGTAAAACCTTGTACCTCGGTTTGCGACGTTGCAAATTTCCAGTCACCTACTTTTTTCCCCTCGCATGATTGTTTTACAGGATGTTCCAAATCACCTGTACCAAATTTTTTTCTCGGTTGTCTTAGGTTGCGCGGAAGACATAGATGTCAAAGGAGTCAAAAGAGGATAGGTGGCAAGGGGGGGGGGGAAGTTGCCATTAGAAAAAAAATTAGAGGTGCCCCCATCGCCTCTTTAATTTTGGATATGCCAAAAAGTAAGTAGTTCTCTTTGACCTGGATACATTCCCCAAATTTCGTCAAAATAGCTCTGTTAATGACAATTTTAAAAGTGTAGGAGGAGGGGGGAGAGGGGAGCGTGATTCAATGTCTTGGGGGGAGGGTGGAGGTACGGACTTTTGGGACACCCTGAGCCCTGCAGAGTATGTAAGGAAATTTCGCAGCAATGTCAGTTATTGGGATGCGTGTTGTTATGCTGTTGATTTTTCGCAAAGAAAAAATGAAAAACCTGCATCAGTGTTATAGGGCTATTTTTTTTTCCTTTTCTTTTCTACGACGAACGAATTATGTACTCTTTGATCAAAGTTTAGATCAAATTTAGAAATCGTTGCGACAATGACGTCATTCAAGAAATTTTTTAAATTTAGAAAAGCTATTAAGTAAGGGAAGCAAGCCTTCCGCTCCTCTCGTTCCCTTCCTACCCAAAATTCAAGACGTAAATTACGTTGAAAAAACTAAAAAGTCAAGAAACACAGAAGCGGCAACTCCGACAATGTCCCTTCTGAATGTTAGTAGGAGAATTTTTCAGATCAACGAATATTAAAACGGTTGTTTCTCAGCTCATCAACGATCCTGCGCTGTTATCAGATTTTGCGACTTCATTACATGTAATGTTGGACCCCGAACGGAAAAAGGAAGTTTATGAAGAGGGGTTGTGAGGCGCTCATTTAATAGATTCTGTGCTAAAATTACTTACGATAATCAAAACAGGATATAGTTTGGATTCAAAAATAAATTCCTTCCAAAATCCGCACGTCAATTTGACAACATGAGAAAGAACCATCCTCCACCCAATTGGGAGAGGGGCTCTGGGAGAGAGGAGTACGTAGAGAGGGGATGAAGGGAGGCGGTGAGAGGGGTGAGGTAAGCCTGGAGGAGATAAATTCAATTTTATCATTCCGTAGCCAAAATGGCGTATCGGTGAGAATCGCGTTCGGGAGATCGGAGAACAGTGATTTGTGATTTGTGAACCACTTAGTGCCCATTAGGATGTAAAATGATTTCTTAGTTTTTGTCAGAGTTTTCCTAGTATTTTATATTCCAAGCTTTGAAGGTTTACTGTTGTGCTTCTATTAATTTTACGAGGTGTTTTTGTGCCATTGTGAGTCTCCTTCCCACTCGCCGATTCCACGGATAGCAATTGAAGCGTCTGTAAGTTTTCTTGTTTATCTACAAAACTTCAACTTTTCTAGTCGTTCTCCTCACATCGCAGATTCTATCAGTAACTCATTGCACCCTTTCTTTTGTCTCTCTTATCAAAATTTCATTTCCAAGAACATCTTTTTCTCTCATTTACTTTTGATTACGGTCCACTTTTAACACAAAATTCAGAATACTTTGTTTTGTCTACTCATTAACTCCATTGAGAGTAGCGGAGACCTCATAATTCCAAATATTACACCTCTTGATGCACTGAGAGATGGTGTGGTCCAATATCTTCAATTATATATCGCAAAGCACTCTTTAGCTATGTCTGTCTAGCCGAGGCATTACAAAGAGCCCAATTAGCTGTATCATTTTGTCGGAAAAGGTTTATGTATGATTATCCAAGATTTTGTCACATAGCTTAGAAGCTGGCGTAGAGGATGCTGTGCGTCTCTTGTCTGATGTTCATCTTCAGTATTTTACAACTGTTGGGTCTTTGTTTCTTTCAGAACTGGAGGTGTAACTTGAATATGAAAAATTTTTAAGCAAGTATTTCTAGCTATGTTCTTTACTTGGGTTTTTCTTACAGGAAGAAATAATTAAGTGTAAGTTTTCAGAATTTTACTAGACCTCCTTCCTTCAGCGGGGGTTCTAGTGGAGGAGGGAGGAGCAGTATTATACGATTAGGTCTATTTAAGGGAGGCGCAGATAAATTAGAGACCCTACCAAATAAGTCCAAACTTATTTGGTATGGTCTCTAATTTATTTGCACTTCTAGACTCGAACAAAAGATCTCTTGGTGTTGGTTTAGCATCAAAAGTAAATGCAAGAATCAAGAAAGTGGATCTTCTGTCAACACTGTAAAAGTAAACTCATGTGGCGTCAACCCTATGATAAATCATGTAGTTACTAATATCATACCCTGTACACTCTCAAGATTAATTCCACCGAGGGAATCAGAAAATGTCTGATCTCATGATCTGAGTGCGACAAAAGTAAGGGAATTTTGAAAAAATGATGACCCTTTTTCTGACGTAGGACTAAGTTTGCTTTTTTTCTTCAATACTTTCTATAAATTGGGCAAAACTTATATTTTACTATAAAATTGGGGGTTTTGCCAGAAAATCTGTCATATTTCCATGAGACAAATCAGAAGTATGGCTGCGAAGCAAAACAGCAGATGGCAGCAATCTATTGGAATTTTGTAACTTTCTACACCGTTGATTTGGAAAGAACAATTTGTGTGGTGGGGGGGATTTATTTCTCTAGCCCCCCTCCTCTATTTTAAGTTTACGTAGTTTACATGATGGGTACAAAACTTTATTCACAGTACATTTGGGTTGGTATGAAACCAATACAAAACTTTGACAATCTTGAATTTTTTATCATGAGAAATGGGGGAGGCTGGAGAATTAAACCCCTGTCTTTGATCCCTTCCCTTTGGATAGCTTTGAAGCACAACCCCAGACATCCATTAATAATTATGGAACAGTTGCCAGACCCCTCCCCCCCCCTTCAGATCCCCTCCAGAATTGTGGGAAAATGTTGAATGTACAGCTTGCATTTTTATTGATCATATTACAAATAACATCAAAGAAATGATGATGATGCATGTAGGTATTTTATTTTTTGGTGTTGCTGGCGGTCTACAGAGAAGCGAAAAATACTGAAACAAGGTAAGAAAATTCTAATCTGGTTTAGAAATCGCAAGAAATTTCTGAAAATTTGGAGTTTCATGTACCATATGAGAAGGTTATGTAACGCTACCATTGACCTCCCTCCCATCCTCCCCTTGTAACACAGGCTGATACCACCCCCACCCCCCCCCTCCCCCCCAGAAAGTCACATGTCACATAATTGATGAACGCTCCCGTAATCTCATAAGGGTGGTTACACTTTCCGGCAATCTGACAAGGGAATGTGATGAACCCATTTTTTTTAAACTTTTCATTGAAGATAAACATCCCTCTGAAAAGTGGTACCTATTCGCGACGGTTAGTTTTCAACATCGCAGAGCGACATACGTCCTTTCGTAGCACTTATCACCTGGATGCAAGTACATTATTTTTAAAGCTGGGGTACCTCATTCGAAAACCGATTATTATATAAAAGAGAAACCTCTGTTCAATGAGTCTTCACAAGGTTAATATCGTTTTGGGCAACCATCACCTCTTATCAAGTTCAACTTATCATATCAGGCTTTCCGAAGTAACCACAAAAAGCTCAAATAATAATGAGTTAGTTGAGATTGTCGGCAGAGGAGCCGTGCATGGTGTATGCAATGGATGCAATCCTAACCCCTAACCCCCTCTCTTCTGTTCGGTGGATCCCTTATCATGAATCAATTTGTACCATTTTCTCTCTACTTCCCTAGCATTTTCCCCCTAGCCTCTCGGAGTTTTTACCAGCCAAGTCGTCACTATCGCATTCCAAAGGCGCATATTGCTACCTAGAGTCGTTACTTCGATTTTGAAATATTTCACATCAGTCGAGGCAGGAATGAAATCCCAGTTCTACTTCTACCCCATCCGTCATCATCGTCACTGAGCTGCCTTTATTTCCTGAAAGATCTAAGTTTCCCGAAAAATCAAGGGCCGGGTACGGGAATTTCCCGGTTTCTCACGGGTCTCCCAATCAGATAATCCGCGAATGTCCACACGAAACTCGTTCCCAGCTGAAAGGGCAACTGCAAGTACTGTAATGTAATTTAAAGAAATTATTTTTTTCGTTAACTTGGGTTGCTCAACCATTACGACCTCAATGTTATTCCTTTTTTTGAACTTGAGGGTTGATTGTAAGAGAAACTATTGGCACTATCGTGCTTCTCGCGAAATTTCATGTAGATTATTGAGTGCAGAAAGCTTCCCAACCGCGCGACCGTGGTCTCATTTTGAAGTTGGGAGACTGTCTAGAACAAGTGTAAAGATTGTGAAAGCCTCTGAAAAATTCGAGGAACTAACAAGGGGCTTACATTATGGGAAGGCTAACAATAAGAACTATCTATTTTGTGCGGCAGTAGGGTGGCCACAGTCAAATAGAAAAGGTTTAAGTCTGGGAAAAGACCCCAATGACCCGAAATTCATGGGAAAATCGCGTTTGGAAATTGTTTACGTGTCTCATCACATAGTGCCACCTTGTCTCGAGGCTAGATCGTCATATTTTATTAACCTTTTTCTGCTCGGCCCCTTTGATAACACATCTCGTTTTGTTAGACGATGTGCTCGGTGTCAAAAAAGCCTCGGAGTGATAGAAAATTATGCATTTTTCGCTAAAATGCGCCTGCATACCTATGTTCAGGCAACCGTTTAACCTGTATCCAGTGGTCTATGGATCAAATCATGATAATTTCCGTAAACTACATTGGGTCAACTTGGAAAACCCGCGTACATTTCCAGATTTGGGAGGAGGGAGGGGGGGCGGGGCAAAAAGGCCCTTATCAATACCCCTCCTTTTGAACACTGCAAAAAAAAAACACATTGGATCTAGAGTCCAGACTCTAAACATCGACAAAAAAAATACTCTTGATTCAATCAGATTTAAGCTTAAATCAAGAACCAAGCGTATTAATTTAAGCGGATTTCCATTTGATTTAAGCTTAAATGGACGGAGTTAAACAGAAAAGAACCAAGCCACATCGGGATCGAACCGAGAAAAAGAGGCTTAAAGTTTAGCTCCTGCATAAGACTCAATGTAAAAGTTAAACTTCAAGCTCAATTTCTGCAAAATTTGCTCCAACAAAAACTTTGAATTTTTGGCGATAGGTAGTAGAGAAGTGGTTGAGTTCAAAACCACTCATAACTCAATTTTTTCCAAAATGTGGGTTGGTTCCTTTCTGCTTAACTCAGTTGAATCAAGAGTCATTTTTCTTGTCAATGTTTTCAAGAGTCTGGACTCTAGATCCAATGTGTTTTTTTTCCAGTGAAGTTGAGGAAAAGCGAAGAAAGCAAGGGAATTGAAAAATGAAAAAAATCCTGAGCCCTGTTCGATGATGAAACGGTTAGTTGGAAATTCCTCGACTAACAAGCTTTTTCTGGGTGAGTCGGTGAAATTCAGGCTGAGGATAGGTACTTGAGATGGGGAGGCTTCATTGATGGACGACCTTGATCCGGCGTGCGAGGCACAGGTGCCAGGAGCCGCGACCGGCGAACCCAGCGCGAGCGGCGAGTGTCAGGTGTCAAAGCTCCCGCGGGCGGCGAGGGCAGGGCGCGGTGGCGGAGGTGGGGATGCGCGGAGGGACGGGCGAGCAGGGAGCAGCTCCGTCGGGATCAGGGACGAGAGCCAACTCCTGGAGCTTCGCCTTCGACGAGCTTGGCCCGCTCCCGATGAAGCTGCGCAGGACCAAAGGGACGCCGACGTCGCCCGCTCCCGCTCGAGAGCGCTGCCCTCGGCCCCTGCGACGCCGCGAGCCGCCAGAAAACGCCGTATCAGGTTGGCTACACTGCGATGCTAAGGAAAAACGCCTCCAAGCGTTACCTAATTTCCTCTGATAAAATACGAATTTATTGGGAAAATGGTACAGAGTTTTCTTCCAATTTTCGCGACTATTTTGTTCGCAATTGGATCTAAAATATCTGAAAATTTTAAAGAAAAATGCACATTAATTTCGTCCAAAATACCTGTTTTATCCGCGGAAATTAGACAACTCTCGAATGTTCATGCGGAGTTCTTCCTTACCACGGCAGTACAAGTCCGAAAATAGTACTGATTTTTAAAGGCGGTCCGGAAGAACTGTAGAAGTGCGGAGATTCCGCGGAAGGCCCGGATTTTTTTAATTTTTTGTGATTTTTGACGCAATTTGAGCGAGGAATTCAAATTTTTGAAATTTCGTCCTCTGGTGGTACTGGAGAAGCACTGAAGTTTTCTGTCGAGAAAGTACTGATTTTTTAGGAATGGTCCAGAGTCACTGAAAACGTGCGGAAATTCCGCGGAAGGTCCGAATTTTTTCTCATTTTTGTCGCAATTCGAGCGAGAAATTCAAATTTTCAAAATTTTTCGAATTTCGTCAA